TCTATTGATCACTGTCAATCAATCTCCAGCACTCAGGAATGCACGAGCGCATTTACTCGAGTGCTCCGTTTTCAGCGTTCTCCTTTTAAACGTTAGGAATCATGTATTTTTATTTTCTTTCTTCTTCACGACGTGCTTCTGCTTCAATCGCGATCGTCCAGTCGTTTTGATTCCTCCTCCTATTGCCGCGACCGTGCTCTTCTCCTCTTCTGCTCTCCACTGCTCCTTTCTCACTGCGTTTCACCACATTTACCCGCCGATTGCACTGCAAATCACAAGAGAAGTTGATTATCACCACCGTCGCGTCCACTGACTATTCGCGACTCGTGCCGATTTCGCGTACATACAATTCCCGACATAAATAAACGCCAACTATACAAGTAAGTATACACACAACAGTCGCGATACCACCGATACGAAAGTGCCGCGTGAGGTAACTGCGCTTCGAACGCCGCCGAGAGAAGCCGATCGCGCTAGCACGCACACACGCACACACATACACGCAACACACATACACGCGCGCGCAGAACAGGCAGTAAGGGAGGGGAGGAGGAGCAAAACAACGCGCACGATGAGTGAAAGAGCGAGAGGAGCGAACGGAATGAAAGAGAGAATACGCCTACGCGCGGTCGCGTAACGCGAGAAAAATAAACAGCGAGTTAAACGGAAACAGAACGCGCGCGCATGCACAAGAGAGAGAGAGAGAGAGAGAGAGAGAGAGAGAGAGAGAGAAAGAGAGAGAGACGGATAAATATAGAAATATAGAAAGAGCGATAAAGCGGAATTTATTATGCGCTTCGAAATGAAATTATTTACGAATTAAACGGGGAATTTAATTCCTTTGTCGCGTGTTTATGTTTTTTGGTGACGATTAACGCATAAGATTTTATATGTTTTACGTAAGAACGAGAACACGAAATTCTTTTTTGTATACACGTGCATCACACATGTGCAATTCGAAAAAAAATACGCAGTTAACATTTGGAAAAAACTGAACTTTCTTATGTCAAAAATGAAATGTAATAAAAAAAAAGTTTAAATATTAATCCGAAGTATTCATTTTTAAGATTTATTGAATAATTTGAAATGTTTAAGAAGTTACATATTTGAAAAAATATACTATTTAATACTTGGAAAAATTGAATTAATTTTGATATAAGAAATGAATAATAAAAATTTAAATGTTAATATGAAGTATATTTATTTTTAACATTCATTGTATGAAATAGCAATTTAATATATATCATTTATTAGTATATAAAAGAAATGTTTATTTAAAAAATTATAAATAATTGTTTTTGCTTCTACACAGAGAAGAATTGAAATATTTTGAAAACTTATAATAATTTTAAGAATATATTAATTAAGAAGAATATATTTTTAATTAAAAACACATAAAAATGAAAATTTTTACAGGTTTTAATTTAAGGATCAAAGATGGATTTGTTAATTCAGAGAAGAGTGAGTTAAAAACTAAATACATAAAAACAAAATGCATAAAAAAAACAATTTATTTACAAAAGTTCAGCTCATTCCAGTTTTGCAATTTCTACATTTAAAAAAATGAAATGGTTGTGCATTTAGAGGAGAAAAGGTATAAAAAAATGTAGTTACATCAAGCAGACTAAAAAAAAAAAAGACAAAGAGACAAAGAATCTGTTAATATAATAAATAAAGATGTGTGGTTAATGATAAAGCGATTAATACATGCGATTACGACACAAGAATTAGAGGTTAAGTCCATCTAAATAAATTTTTGCGCGATATATATATATGTATATAAATACAGTATATAATAAATATTGAGTACACACAGATGTTTTTCCAGTCTCCTTCAATTCTTAGCGATAAGGCATTAACGTTAAAAAGCTATTTTCCTAAGTAATTACATGGACTTGTCCGCGAGATATGGCAAACGTCGCGCGCGGCAGTCGATCGAACAAACATTAAAGGCATTTACAATATCCGGTGCACATCACACCGGATATGCCTTCACCACGAATATTTTATACGGCGCGTTTCTCAATAAAAATTCAAAATCGATTTTCTCTCGGAGCGAAAAATATTAGGCCAGATACTCCACGTATTCGGACAATCTCACGAGGGCTCGGGAAAGGTAGGTTTCCGTCTGAAAAAAAAAAATCGCACTTGAAGTTAACCGAAAAGCCATCTGTCATCACGATTGAACACAACGAATGAACACAAGTAGAGACGAGGAAGACAAGGGGAAGCGGGATTGTCTCGGATTCCAGGCGATTCCGAATAAGACTGTTTTCTCGCACGAGTCACGGACGAAGGGGGGGAGGAAGAGGAAAAGAAGGAGATGGAGGTGGAAAAGGAGGAGGACTCTGTTTCGATTTCGGGCTCGTCGGAGCCCCGCAGCTATTGTTCACAGAGCCAGGCCGCTATTACGAGGCTGGCGAGGCAACGCGCCAGCTGATAACTCACAAACAAAGGGGCAGGCGAGCCGCCTTCGCGCAACAACACTTTCTACCCGAACGTCCACTAGAATGCGCCAGCTGAGAATCTCGTCGTCCCCTCATCGAGGCGCCCCGTATCTCGAGCGTACGTCTCTCTACAGGCACGCGCGCTCACATTCGCGCTCGCGCGCACACGCACACGAAAATACGTACAGCAGATATACATACATTCACGCCCCTGTGTATATTTACGTACGCATACGTATGTATACGCCCGTATATATATGCCCTAACATCCGCCCGATGACATTTGGCACGGGTCGCGACGGTAAAGGAGTACGCAAAGATAGATAAGAGAGAAAAAGTAGATTAGGAAAGAAAATAAGTGGAATAAAGACTAACGGTGTCTGTGTTTCACTACTACGTTGTATGGGTGAGCGGCACTATCCAGCACTATTAGCCCTCTTTCTCTCTTTCCCGCACACATAGGTTTCCCACAGGGGCGGAGGGGCGCACAGCGGTGGCGGGGTGGGAGCAAGCTGATCGGACAACGAACAATACCGTACGCGAATGGAGAACGAGCAAACGGTCACGGCGATGAAAAACGGGTGACTATTTAAATAGCGATTATGACGTCGATACGCGGACGCGGACGAATATATGAACGAACGTACGAACGACCGAACCAAGCGAGCGGGCGAGCGACAGCTTGACACCTCCGCGCTTCGCGAGCACTCGCACGCATTTATCGATGTCAAACGCTCACCTCGGCGGCAGCAGCGCTCCGCTTGACGGAGGCGACGCGCGCGCTTACAGCCGCAGCGATTGGCCGGCGCGGCGCGCTTGCCGTCGCGTTCGGCCAATCATCCTTGCCGTAACATATCTCGCCGCGATAGTCGCGTGCCGCCACCAACACCCGCCGGCTGTCACGTGAATCTCATGCCCGAAAACAAAACAAACAGCTGGCCGCCCAGCGTCGCCGCTGTCGTCGTTCTCCAGCGGGCCGAGCCGACCAAACGCCGAGCGAGTGCAGCTGAACGAACCCGAGTCAACCCGAGCGAACCCGAACGCGTCCGACTCCGTTCAACTACCGCTCTACTCTACTGCAACGCTTCGCGTTGCTCCATAGCATAGTTTCATTCTTTCAGCGAATTTGAGCGCGCTCAATTGAGAGAATATTGAAATACTAATGAATACGTGGAAATTAGAAGAAGACATTATTCATATCTATTAATGCAGAGGTGCATTTTACTTTACGCATCACTTATTTATGTCAGACTCAGTATAATTAAGAATGGATTGAAATTTTTTAAGCCCATTGAATCCAATTGAATAAAAAAAGTTTTTTTTTATTCAATTGGATTCGATTAAATTCAACTGGATTCAAAAATTTTGGATTGAAAAACTTGTACATCTTTTATCAGAATTTGAATTGAACATTATACACTATATGTGCACACAGAAAAAGTTAATATTATTTTTATATTGAAAGTTATAAAAATGTGTTTGATACAATTCCTGTAAATGCATTCACATTGAAAAGGATTTATTTTAAAGTTCAGAGGAATATGTACTTCTAAATTCATCTTAATCTATTTCAATCCATTCTTCGTTTACTGGAAGTTCTACATACGTACCAATAAATTTTAATTCTTAGAATTAGAAAAAAGATAAAAAGTTAATTGAACTGAGATTAAAATTAAATTATATTGATAGAAATGGATATTAGATTTGGTTCCACTAGTGTAAGATGACTTAACTTTAATCTCAATTTAACTTACTATTTACCTTTTTCTAATTCATATAATTAAAGGAAGATAAAAACTAAATTGAACCGAGATTAAAGTTAATGTCTTACATTGGTGGAATTAGGTCTTACATCCTCCTTATTTGCTGAATATTAAATAATAATAAGTGATGCATTATACATATTATACATGAAATACAATTCATTCTAGATTAACTTTAATTTTGGTTTAATTTATTTTTTATCTATTTTTAATTTTTAAAGTTAAAGCTAGAGGAAGATAAAAATAGTTACATTTAATCAAAATTAAAATAATTACTCTACATTGGTATAATAAAAATGAACATGAAAGATAAATAAAATAAAAATGTTACGATTCGAGAAAATATTTTCAAACATAAAAATGAAAAGACTACAGTTTTAATCACAAATGTAACAATTTTATTTATTAAGCTAAATATAAAATTGAGTTTTTTTCCATAAAATCATTTTACATTCGAGATACCGGCTTGATGCCCAAAATGTCCAGGGCATTCTCAAAGATGACGTACAATGCACGTAACATATATAATCTGGCAACCATCTTGGGAATCAAATGATTACCTCCTTCCTGAAATTTATAAAATAATAATTTGATGTAAACACATGTAAAGTATAAAAGTTTTACAAGCGTAAAGTTTTTTCTTACCGTTAAAATTCTGACCTTTCGATAGTAGATACTGAATTT